ATTATTATTTTGGGAAGAATGTTGAGGTCTGTGACTTGGCTAATGTCAGCGTCAAAACTCAGGCATTCCCACTTCTGACTGTTCAATTCATTGGGTTTCTCATAGTAAGAGTAGGACCGCCACTTATGTTGCGTTTACTTGTTTGTGAATTTCAGTGAGGGGAATCTATTTGGTGACTATTATCATTAAGAGAAATAAGCAAGGGTGGGCCGGGCGCAGTGGCTCACACCTGTCATCCCAGCACTTTGGGAGGCCGAGGCGGGTGGATCACGAGGTCAAGAGATCAAGACCATCCTGGTCAACATGGTGAAACCCCGTCTCTACTAAAAATACAAAAAATTAGCTGGGCGTGGTGGCGCCTGCCTGTAATCCCAGCTACTCGGGAGGCTGAGGCAGGAGAATTGCCTGAACCCAGGAGGCGGAGGTTGCGGTGAGCCGAGATCGCACCATTGCACTCCAGCCTGGGTAACAAGAGCCAAACTCCGTCTCAAAAAAAAAAAAAAAAAAAAGCAAGGGTAAAGGTCCCGCTTTAGAGTTGGGACTACATGGAACTGTGGGGAGAATCTAATTTAGGGATTAGGGAACAAAAGCCGTTAGACCCCCCCCCAAGTATGCTCAGCAGATTTTAAAGCTTTATTGCAGTAAATATACATATAGAAATTACCATTTTAACCATTTTTAAGTGTACAATACAGTGGAACTAAGTACACTCAAACGCCGTGCAGCCACCACCACCGTCCACCGCAAGTCTTTCCATCCGCCCAAACAGAAACTCCATGCCCTTTAAGAATAACTTTCAGTTGGATGTGGTGGCTCACACCTCTAACCCTAGCACTTGGGAGGTGGAGGCAGGTAGATCGGTTGAGCCCAGGAGTTCATTACAACATAGCAATGAATACCATCTTTACAAAAATACAAAAATTAGCTCGGTGTGGTGGTGCCAGCCTGTGGTCCAACACCTGAGGATGCTGAGGTAGAAAGACCACTTCAGCCCAGGTGCTTGAGACTGTAGCGAGCTGTCATCGTGCCACTGAACTCTGGCCTGGGCAATACAGCAAGACCCTGTCTCAAAAACAAAAACCGCAAAACCTCTCTACTTCCCCCTTCTTCCACTCCCTAGCAACCTCTGTTCTACTTTCTGTCTCTATGAATTTGTTCATCTGGGTACCTAATATACATGTAATCATACAATGTTGCCCTTTGTGTCTGGCTTATTTAACGTAGCATAACGTTTTCAAGGTTCAACCAGAATTCCGAATGCCGTTCTTTGCTAAGGAATACTCCACTGAATATATGTACCACATTTTCTTACCCATTCATCTGTTGACGGTCGCTTGGGTTGCTTCTACCGTCTGATTACTGTGAATAACAGTGCCATGAACGTTGGCATACAATTATCTGTTTGAGTCCCTTCTTTATTTTTTGTTATTTTTTTGTAGAGACGGGGTCTTGCTGTGTTGACCAGGCTGGTGTTGAGTTCCTGACTTCAAGCAGTTTTTCACCTCAGTCTCCCAAAGAGCTGGGATTACAGGCATGAGCCACTGTGTCTGGCCAAGTCCCTTCTTTCAACCCCCCCTTTTTTTTAAGATGGGAGTCTCTGTCGCCCAGGCTGGAGTGCAGGGTGGGATCTTGGCTCATTGCAACCTCTGCCTCCCGGGTTCAAGCGATTCTCTTACCTCAGCCTTCGGAGTAGCTGGGATTATAGGCACCTGCCACCACGCCCGGCTAATTTTTGTATTTTTTCAGTAGAGGTGGGGTTTTGCCACATTGGTCAGGCTGGTTTGGAACTCCTGATCTCAGGTGATCCACCCACCTTGGCCTCCCAGAATGTTGGGATTACAGGTGTGAGCCACTGCGTCCGGCTCCCTTCTTTCAAATCTTTTGGGCATATGCTTAGAAGTGGAACTGTAAGTCATATGGCAATTCACTGTTTAACTTGAGGAACCGCCAAACTGTTTTATACAGTGGATATACCATTTTACATTCCCACCAGCCATGCATAAGGGTTCCAAATGCTTCACATCCTGGCAAACACTTGCTGTTTTCCATTTTTTGGATAATATCCATCTTAATGAGTGTGAAGTGGTATCTCACTGTGGTTTTGGTTTGCATTTCTCTAATGGTTAGTGCTGTTGGGCCTGCTGTCATGTGCTTATCTGTTGTGTGTGTATCTTCTTTGGATTAATGTCCGTTGAATTCCTTTGCCCATTTTTGAATCGGGTTTTGTTGCTGAGTTAGCTCATCTGATTTTTGACAAAAGTGCAAAAGCAATTCAATGGAGGAAGCATAGCCTTCCAACAAATGGTGCTGGGCCAACGGGACATCATAGGTGAAAAAGCAAAAAAGAACCTTGACCTAAACTTCACACCTTATATAAAAATGACATCAAAATAAATCATGGGCATAAAACACTAACACTTTTATAAAAATGGTGGGAAATCTTTAGGACCCAGGGCTAGGCAAAGAATTCTTAGACTTCACATCAAAAGCACAATCCATAAAAGAAGGAATTGATAAATTGGACCTTGTCAAAAAGGCTTTTGTTCTGTGAAAGCCCAAGTGAAGAGGATTAAAAGACAAACTACAGATTCAGAGAAAGTGTTTGCAAACCACGTATCCAACAAAGGACTAGTATATAGAATATATAAAGAATTCTCAAAACCCGACAGTTAGAAATTGAGCAAAAGAGACGAACAGACACTTCACCCAAGTAAATATACAGATGGCAAGTAAGCACATGAAAAAGATGTTCAATATTCCTCATGTACATGAGAACCACAATGAGGTATCACTATACACCTATTAAAATAACTAAAAAATAGTGACAACACCAATGCTGGCAAGGTGGTGGAGAAATTGGATCACTCAAACATTTCTGGTAAGAATGTAAAGTGGAATCGTCTGGAAAACAGCTTTGGCAATTTATTCTAAAACTAGATATGCAATTACCATACTACACAGCAACTGCACTCCTCCATAGGAATGAAAACATATGCTCACACAAAAACCTATACATGCACATAACAGCTGAATCATCATTGCTGCTAACTGGAAACAACCCAGATGTCCTCCAGTGGGTAAATGGCTAAACAAACTGGTACATTCATACTAGAACTGCTCAGCAATAAAAAGGAATGGATAATTGATACACAACTTGGATGAATCTCCCAGGAACTATTCTGAGTTTTTAAAATTCATCCTAAAAAGTCTACATGCTGCATTATTTCATTTGTATAACATTTTTGAAATGACAAAAGTTTAGAAATGGAGGACCAACGTGGTTATAAAGGGTTAGGGTTAGGGCCGGAGGAGGGAGGGAGGCATACATAGTTATAAAAGGACAGCAGAGAGATCCTTGTGACAGTATTTGGGTTTTTTTTGTCTGTTTTTTTTTTTTTTTTTTTTTTTTTTTTTTTTGAGACAGAGTCTCACTCTGTCCCTCAGGCTGGAGTGCAGTGGTACAATCTCAGCTCACTATAGCCTCAACCTCCTGAGGTCAAGTGATTCTTATGCCTCAGCCTCCCGAGTAACAGGGATTACAGGTGTCCACCACCATGCCTGGCTAATTTTTATTATTTTTACTAGAGACAGGGTTTCGCTATCTTGGCCCGGCTGGTCTTGAACTCCTGGCCTTAAGTGATCTGCCCACCTCGACATCCCAAAATGCTGGCATTATAGGTGTGCATGAGCCACTGTGCCTGGCCAGTATTTGGTATCTTGATGGTTGTGGGTACACAAACCAACACATGATAAATCAAAAGAAAAGGACAGTTAAATTGGAGAAATCTAAATAAGAGGAGTAGGTTGTATCGATGTCAATATCCTGGTTATGACATTATACTTAAGTTCTGCCAAATGTTACCTTTGTGGGGAACTGGAAGAGTATACAGGGGATCTCTATTATTTCTTACAACTGCATGTGATTCTATAATAATCTCAATACAATTTCAAATTAAAAAGCAAACAATACAAAGAGCAGTATCCTGCAGATACTTCTGGTTAGAGAAATAAGTGGGCTGGAATTAACAAACATCTGTATACCCTACATGAGGAAATGCCGGTGACCCAGATTGGATTATCCAGCTTCTTGGATAATAAAATGTCAAGCTTATAAACTAAAGAAAATTCTCAAGAGAATTTTGGGCAGAAAAAAAAATGGCATGAGAGCCTTAGTGACGACAGTGGAAAAGTAACAAACCTAGAGGAAAATCATCCCTGGTTTTGAAAACATCGGTTACTGCAAGAATGATATCCTCGTCAAAAATAACCCTTGAATTGCTGAAGCAAATGTGGCCTCCATTCCCAGACTTTCTAATGCTCATTCCAATTCGTGTGTTCTGAAATTCTCCTGCGTCCTAAACTTTCTCACAGCATGTTCTTACTTTTTTTTTGAGACGGAGTTTCGCTCTTGTTACCCAGGCTGGAGTGCAATGGCGCGATCTCGGCTCACCGCAACCTCCGCCTCCTGGGTTCAGGCAATTCTCCCGCCTCAGCCTCCTGAGTAGCTGGGATTACAGGCACGCGCCACCATGCCCAGCTAATTTTTTGTATTTTTAGTAGAGACAGGGTTTCACCATGTTGACCAGGATGGTCTCGATCTCTTGACCTCGTGATCCACCCGCCTCGGCCTCCCAAAGTGCTGGGATTACAGGCGTGAGCCACCGCGCCCGGCCCAGAACCACTTATAAGGTTTCTATTTCGGTCTTGTTTTAGTGCCTTGTTTGAAATAAACACAACTTTATGGATTTACTTCGCTGTACTGCGTCCTGCTTCCTTCACTCACCATCGTAGCACGGCCTTCCTCCGCATCGTTTGACATTTTAGATATATCTGAATAGCTACTATCAATTTCATGGTGGGATCGTTCGCTTTGTAACTCCCCAGCAGGAGAGCGGAATGCACGTCTCTGTGCAGAACGTTTGGTCCACAAAACTTTTAAAAAATCTCCAGCGCACTGGGGATGCTGCTCACTGGGACCCAGCCCCGCGCGCCGTCAACGCCTCCGTCACTTTCAGAACTCTTGGCGCCCCTCGGCCCCCGTAGGGACGCGTTGACGTAAGACGCGCTGAGGACGCGCGAGGGACGACGCTGGTTTCCCTGGTGACGGTTGCCAGGGCAGCGCGTGCCGGCGTCCGGAAGAAGTTGCCTAGCCGCTGCAGGGAGAGGTGGAGAGAGACCGCGGTAAGTGCCAGGGAGGGCGGAAGGGCCGGGCCGGAGCCGGGAGAGCCCGAGCTGCCAGGAGCACGGGCCCGATCCTGAGCGCACACCCCGGCCCGAGCGCGCTGCCTCTGGCCCCCACAGGACTGAGGACTCGCCAGAGGGAGTTCCCCTCCAAGCGCAGACTCCAGCCCGGGAACCAGATCCTCACCGCGGCCCCATCCCAAACCTTCCCTCCGTAGATGCTAGCAGGCTTCAGGGCGCCAAACTAGGCGTCCGCGGGCGTCTCCGCCACACCTCCAGGCCCCCAGCCTGTTGTTGAGAATACTCGAAAAGAACACAGTAAAAGCAGAAAGAGAAGGAGAGAGAAAGAGAAAAGCAATGAAACAAAGAGGCAGACCCATGGGGCAAGGGGCCTCAGTCTTTCCTCACTGGGCCCTGTCACCTGTGTACTCAGCAGCCCTTGGGATCTTGCTTCCTCCCAGGACTCCTGAGTGTGGCTGCCACGCTTCCCACTCCCTGTCCTCCCTGGCTCTAAGTCCTGCCTGGGTCAAGAGTTCTTTCCATGCAGCTCTAGCCTTTACTTTTTTCTTTTTTTTAGACGGAGTCTCACTCTATCGCCCAGGCTGGAGTGCAGTGGTGCGATCTCAGCTCACTGCAACCTCTGCCTCCCGGGTTCAAGCGATTCTCCTGCCTCCGGCCCTTGAGTAGCTAGGATTACAGGCACCCGCCACCACCCCTGGCTAATTTTTGTATTTTTAGTAGACATGGCCAGGCTCGTCTCGAACTCCTGACCTCAGGTGATCCGCCCACCTAGGCCTCCCAAAGTCCTGCGATTACAGGCATGAGCTATCGTTCCCGGCCTAGCCTTTACTTTTAAAAGAAAATGAATAGACTTAAAGCAGATTTATGGAAGCATTGAACAGAAAACAGTTCAGAAAACCTTCCATATTCCCGTTTTCTCTGTTGTTAACATCTTCTACGTTGCATTGGAGTGGTACATTTGTTACCATTGGTACAACTATATTTACATGTTTTTACTAAAGTTATAGTTTACATTCAGGTTCATTTGTTGTTGTTTTGAGACAGAGTCTCACTTGGTCACCCAGGCTGGAGTGCAGTGGCATGATCATGGCTCACTGCAGCCTGGAACCCCTGGACTCAAGCAGTCCTCCCACCTCAGACTCCTGAGTAGCTGGGAACACAGACACATGCTACCATGCCTGGCTAATTTAAAAAAAATTTTGGTAGAGATATTGTCTTGCTATGCTACCAGGCTGATCTCAAGCTCCTGGCCTCAAGTGGTCCTCCCACCCTGGCTTCCTTGAGTGTTGACATTACAGCTGAGTCACCACACCTGGCCAGCGTTCATTGCTTTAGGTTCTACAGGTTTACAAGTTTTGCTAAATGTGTAATGCTATGTATCCACCATTAAAGTACATGGAACACTTTCACTTCCCTAAAAACCCCCAAGGCTTTACTGTTCATTCCTCCTCCCTGCCAGTCCCTGGAAACCACTGACATTTTTCGTTTAGAAGGGATTCACGGGCCGGGCACGGTGGCTCAAGCCTGTAATCCCAGCACTTTGGGAGGCCGAGGCGGGTGGATCACGAGGTCAACAGATCGAGACCATCCTGGTCAACATGGTGAAACCCTGTCTCTACTAAAAATACAGAAAATTAACTGGGCGTGGTGGCGCGTGCCTGTAATCCCAGCTACTCAGGAGGCTGAGGCAGGAGAATTGCCTCAACCCAGGAGGCGGAGGTTGCGGTGAGCCGAGATCGCGCCATTGCACTCCAGCCTGGGTAACAAGAGCGAAACTCCGTCTCAAAAAAAAAAGAAGGGATTCACAACCACCGATATCTTTTACTTCTCTATAATTTCGCCTTTTCCGGATTATACAGTTTGCAATTATATAGTTTGTAGACTTTTCAGACTGGCTTCCTCACTTAGCAACACACGTTTAGGTTTCTTTCGTGTCTTTTCGTGGCTTGATAGCTCATTTGTTTTCATCACTGAATAATATTCCCTGGTATGAGTGTACCAGGTTATCTCCTCACCTGCTGAAGTACATCGGTTTTTTTTTCTGATTTTTTATAATTACGAGTAAAACTATGAACATTTCCTGGCAGGTTTTTGTGTGGACATATTGCTCAGCTCATTTGGGTAAATATGATTACTGGGTAATATGGCAAGACTGTTTAGCTTTGAAAAGATGACCCAAAAAAGCCCTCACAAAGCAGCTTTTCCCTCTTGCGTTCCCACCAGCAATAAATAGGAATGCCTGTTGCTTCACATTCTTGCCGTGATTTGATGTTGTCAATGTTTTGGATTCTAGCCGTTCTGATAGGTGTGTAACGACATCTCATTTTTGTTTTGATTCGCAGTTTCCTAGTGGCATATGATGCTGAACATCTTTTCATATGTCTCTTTACCGTCCATATTTCTTTTTTGTTGAGGAGTTTGTTCAGGTCTTTTGCCCTCCGGACGACGAAGTTTCACTCTTGTCATCCAGGCTAGAGCGCAATGGCGCGATCTCAGCTCACCACACCCTTCTGGGTTCAAGCTATTCTCCTGCCTCAGCCTCCTGAGTATTGGGGATTACAGGTGCCCACCACCATGCCCAGCCAATTTTTGTATTAGTAGAGAAGGGGTTTTGCCATGTTGGCCAGGCTGGTCTTGAACTCCTGACCTCAGGTGACCTACCCACCTCAGCCTCCCAAAGTGCTGGGTTTACAGGCATGAGCCACCGCTCCCAGCCTCTTTTCATTTTCTTGCCAGTATCTTTCACAGAGTAGAAGTTTATAATTTTAATGAGGTTGAATTTACCAATTTTTTTTTCTTTCATGTATCATGCATGCTTTTGGTATTATATATGAAAACTCATAGCCAAACCCAAGGTCAGCTAGATTTTCTCCTGCGTTACATTTAGGTATATAATCCATTTTGAGTTAATATTTGTGACAGGTATAAGGTCTGCGTCTAGATTCACTTTTTCACATGTGAATATCCGTTGTTCCAGCACCACTGCCTTTCTTTCTTTGTCGACGATCAGTTGACTCTCTTTCTATGGCTCTCTCTCTGGGCTCTTCATTTGGTTTCATTGATTCATTGGTCTGTTTCTTCACCAACACCGCACTGTCGTAATTACTGTCATTTTATAGTAAGTCTTAAGGTCAGGTAGTGTCAGTTTTCCACCTTTGTTCTTCTTTAATATTGTGTTGGATATTCTGGATCTTCTGCCTCTCCACATAAACTTTAGAATCATTTTGTCAATATCCATACGGTAATTTGCTGGGATTTCTTTTTTTTCTTTTCCCCGGCAGGTGAGTCGTTACACACTCCTTAGTGGATTCCAGCTTCCACGACCGCCATCCTGGTGCTGGGATTTCTGTATTGTGATTGCATTCACTCTGTAGATCAAGTTGGGAAGAACTGACATCCTAACAATATTGATTCTTCCTATTCATGTTCATGAGATAACGTGAGATAATTTGTTTAGTTCTTGATTTTATCAGAGGTTTATATTTCTCCTAATATAGATCTTACACATATTAGGTATAATCCCAGCACTTTGGGAGGCCAAGGCGGGCGGATCACGAGGTCGGGAGATCGAGACCATCCTGGTCAACTTGGTGAAACCCTGTCTCTACTAAAAATACAAAAAATTAGCTGGGCATGGTGGTGCGCGCCTGTAGTCGCAGCTACTCAGGAGGCTGAGGCCGGAGAATTGCCTGAACCCAGGAGGCAGAGGTTGCGGTGAGCCGAGATCGCGCCATTGCACTCCAGCCTGGGTAACAAGAGCGAAACTCTGTCTCAAAAACAGAAAAAAGATTTATACCCATGTTTCTCCATTTTTGCGTTAATATATATGGTCTCACATTCTTAACTTCACTTTTCCATTGCTTATTGCTAGTATGTGGCAAAGCATTTGACTTCTGTATATTAACCTTACTTATGGCAACCTGGCTACAATGACTTATTAGTTCCAGGAGTTTTTTTTTTTTTTTTTAATAGATTCTTTGAGATTTTCTACATAGACAATCAGTCATCTGCAACCAAGGCGATTTTATTTCTTCCTTTCCAATATATATATATACATACATTTTATTTCCTTTTCTTGTCTTATTCCGTCAGGTAGAACTTCTAGTATGATGTTAAGTGAGAGTGGAGAGAAGGGACATCTTGTCACGTCCGTAGTCTTAGGGGGAAAGCGTGTAGTTTCTCACTGCCAAGTATGATGGTAGTGATATGTTTTTTGTAGACGTTCTTTATCAACTTGAAGAAGTCTCCTCTATTCCTAGTTAGAGTTTTTTATCATGAACAAGCATTGGATTTGGTCAAATGCTTTTTCTGTGTCTATGAATATGATTGTGTGAATCGTGTGACTTTTCGTTAGCCTGTTGAGGTGAGAGGTTACATTAACTGATTTTCTGATGTTAAACCAGCCTTGCCTACTTAACTCCTATTTGGTCATGTGGTTTAATTATTCAAATACATCGTTGGATTCAATTTGCTAATATTCTTGGAGGTGCAGGATTTTTTTTTTTTTGAGACAGGATCACACTGTCACCCAGGCTGGGTGTTGCAGTGGTGCAATCATGGCTCACTGCAGTCAGAGGGAGATTTGGGAATTACGTTCCCTCCATTCACTTGACTGGCCAGTTGAATTCTTTCTTTTCTGCAACACCTGCTGTTTTCAGCGTGTTGGTTTTCTGGACAGCAGGCAAGATGAACCTGTCAGGCTGTTACATGCTCCAGCTGCCTCCTCTGCCTCCTCCTCCTCCTTCTCCTTCCCTCTGTCCCCCTCCTCACTCTGCACCTTCTCTTCATCCTGCTTTGTCCACACTCCAGGTCTATACCACCTGAGGCTCCAGCTCAGACTTCCCTTCTGAGTCCCAGACCCACCCAGCAACTCAGCCAGCCAGCTGCCCACCCAGCATCTCAGAGTCCACCACCTTGTCTGCAGCGTGGAAAACTGGTCCTCTGTCAGGGCCTGCTCTCTCCCCAATCACTCAAACTCA